GCGAAAACCCCTCGCGTCTTCCCCTTCCTGGATCTGTCAATATATATACGTTGTCGGACGCTGAAAAAATATATATATGACATGCATGTGTACTGTAGGGACCAGCGTTTTAAGTGGCTTCTGAATACCGGTTTTCAGTGAATGTTTATATACAGATACAAAAGCTTCCTTTTGTAAAAAGTTTTCGGTAAGTATCACAGAAGGTGGATTGTAGTCGGCGACTTCTCCACGAACAATCATGTGCATCCCGAACTTCAGCCACTGAAGTTTTCTTGACTGGTAGGTGAGGGATGGCATGCAGGATTCTGTTCAATGGTGGACAAAGTCCAGACAAAAACGCATTATGCCGGGGGGCTCTGCTGCGGCTCGGATTCCGTCGTTTGCTTGTTGGCCTCCTCATTCCCTTTACATTCCGCGAATGTTTTGACAGCTTCGGCATACTTTTGGGCGCATAAAGCTAGCAGCCTTCTCTGATAGGCAACAATACGCATTCTGTAGAATTTTTCCAAGTCCAGAACATTTCTGAAGTTTTCCAACTGCAAAGCATGCATCAGCGCTGACTGAAATAACAGTTCGTAGCGTAAAAGAGATGAAAAGCTAATATTGTGCCCGGTGTTCAAGGCAAAATTTTATCCTTGAAGCTATAGGCGGACCCAGGAGGCGGCCTCCTGGCGATTTCCCTCCTCCCTCCTCCTTCGGCTACTCCACTACCCCCTCCCCCTCCCTCGATCGTCCCGCTAGTGTACCCTAAACTGCGGCGACAACCGAGGAGGGCAGGGGGAGGGGGAGGAAAGAGGGAACCCTCTGGACGGGACGATACGGGGTATCGAACAGAGCTTCCTACAGTAAAACAGCTGCTACCTGAGCTAAAGACTGCCAGTGCTTGAAGCTGCATTGTTCTGCCTCAAAAACCCAATGATGTGCCCTCCCAGAACCCCATTTAAATTTCATTTACCTTAGCTGATGTCTGGAAAACTTGGAAACAGCGCATACCGACGAGACCGACGTTTTTCCTTCCTATCAAACGTTGCTGTTTCGAACCAAACTGAAGGCAATCGACGACTCTCTGGCATACCGAGCTTGCTAGTACTGATTTACCATCGAAAAAGTTCGGTGAGTCGCGGATATATTGGCTCTCTTTGACATTCAGTTTGGATTAAGGGCCCAAGGCTAAGCCCCCCCCCCCCACCCCTCAGGAGTCCGCCTTGAGTCCGTCTATGTCCAGATTATAATGAAAGACATCGACAGGAGATTGTATAAAATGATCGAAATAACAATAACATACAGGGAACGCTGTTTCCGTGCGATTGTTTCGTCGTTGCTGTGACAGTCTCAAATTCCGACACATTCGTTTCACTTTCATCGCCACAATACGTGTCACCACATGCACAGACGAATGATCCGCACCTAAAAAGTGACTAACATTTAGCTACAACGGGAATATTGTGAGTAGAGAGTGAATTTTCGCATAACTGATCCTGAAAACTTAAAAAACACGCGGGAATTTTTGTTACAGAATGCATTAGAGCAGCCTACACACAAAACCAAGATGAGCAGCCAATACGGTCACCGCTTTTTTCAGCAACAACTGGATATTTTCGGTTGAAAATTCATCCTCCATTTCCTCCCTGAAATTATCACAATGTCACAGTGAGTTCCAGCAATCTCAACAAATATGCGTCTCTCTTTGCATTTGCATAAATATGCAAAAA